CTACCTGTAATCTGTGAAACAGAAGCCCTTGAACAAAATGTATAGTCACCTTGCCAGTTTGGGTCGCCTCCGCCCTTGCTTTGAAAGGATTCTGTGGAATCAAAAATGCCTAGGACTCGTCATGTTCCATAGTGGTTCAGGGCACAGGTTAGGCACTTTGGAACAGGAATCACCTTTTGCACATCTCAGGGGAAAATAACAGTTTGTTATAGAAAACTCAGCTGTTCTTTATGGGAAAATAAGCTCCGAGAGGAGTTGACTCATCTGGTCTCTTGTATGGTAGATGAAAGTAAGCTCAGATTAGTGGATTTTTAAATTGTAGACATTGCTTTGTATTTATAGTGGTAAGATAGTGTCATAAGCCAGGACAAGACGCAGGTTGATCTTGTTCTGATTGCTGACTCAGACCTGCTGACTAGTGGAAATTCATATCCTCTGAGAATTACAGTTACCCTCTCCCCAGTTTCTGCACAAAGACCTTTGTGCTGGGATCATAACTGGATCCTGCTTATCCATGTAGGCAGCAAATTACACTGAGTATTTAGACTTTAGGCTCTTTTCTTACACCACAGAAGTTTGACACTTGTAGTTACTTGAAAGTCGGGATAACTTTGCTTCCTTAAGTGAGACAGGTTGAGTGTTTTAGATAGCAAGCAAATGTAAAGTTATGGCAAATAAATTTTGCAATAAATTGCAAAGATTTGTCAGTGTTAAAGGATTTAAATATAGAGATTGATTTAGCAAAGAAATTTAGCCATGTTCAGAGTATAGGTAAACATGCAAAGTTCTAAACTCCATTCCACAGAATACTGTGCACACTATCCTTCTATTGCTAAATTAAGAACCTATTCCTGGGCTGGGCGCAGTGGCTCATGCCTGTAAATCATAGTACTTTAGGAGGCCGAGACAGGAGGATCGCTCAAGGTCAGGAGTTTGAGACCAGCTGAGCAAGAGCGAGACCCCGTCTCTACTAAAAATAGAAAGAAATTAATTGCCCAACTAAAAATACATAGAAAAAAAATTAGCTGGGCATGGTGGTGCATGCCTGTAGTCCCAGCTACTTGGGAGGCTGAGGCAGGATCCCTTGAGCCCAGGAGTTTGAGGTTGCTGTGAGCTAGGTTGTCGCCACAGCACTCTCACCGGCTCAACAGAGTGAGACTCTGTCTCAAAAAAAGAACCTATTCCTGCCATTCTGGTGTGTAGGATGAAACTAGAGGAAAAGCTTTATGAAGTCTGGGAGGGTTTCATAAGATTTCTTTTTCCTATCTAGGCCTGTTTTTTAATTCTGAGACTCTCAGTATATAGTAATGTCAGTGAATAAATGACTGGCTAGTAATAGTCTCCATTATTACAGACAGTCATGACAAACTAAATGAGGTGGCCTTAATTTGGAAAATTTTTTAAAGTAATACAAGTACCACTCCAGTAAAAATTAAAAATAAACAGTTTTTATTGTTCAAATGCACAAATAACTTGATTTGTATAGTCAAAGAACATATATAAACAGCTTATAGGTGGTGACTTTAGAATTTAAAATGTATGTGTTTAGTGTGTAAAAATGTAATATTTTTTCATTGATCAGAAGAATGAAATGTTTTTGACACTTATAAATTATCACAATATTATGTAATTATGTGTACATTAATCTACATATTTTTTTATTTTAACATTGTTTAATTCTGAAACTGAAGTGCAAAGCATTATGTAGGTATCAAGCATTTCTATATTGGTTAATCTTAGATTGATGGTAAGTGTAATACTAAGAAGAGCTTTTAACTTTTGGCTGAAACAGTAAAAAAAAAAAAGTAGACTAAATGATAATTATCAAACTCAGTACCTTGACAAACTTCTCAAGCATCTGCAGAACATATTTTAAATTTGAGTATATTAAGTCCTGAAACCTCAGTACATTAAGGAAGGGAGGGGAGAGAAGGAATGGATAATGTTCTGAGACCTGTTTTTAAAATCCTATTTTTATTGTAAATAACAACACTAAACTGGCTAACTAAAGATTTTAGGATACTTATAAGCAACTAGAGTAAGATAAAATGCTTAAAAAGTAGGCCGCGAGATGGCTCACGCCTGTAATCCTAGCAGTCTGGGAGGCCGAGGCAGGCGGATTGCTCAAGGTCAGGAGTTCGAAACCAGCCTGAGCGAGACACCCCCCCACCCACCCCCATCTCTACTAAAATAGAAATTAGTTGACCAACTAAAAGTATATATACAAAAAATTTGCCGGGCATGGTGGCGCATGCCTGTAGTCCCAGCTACTCGGGAAGCTGAGGCAGTAGGATCGCTTGAGCCCAGGAGATTAAGGTTGCTGTGAGCTAGGCTGATGCCACAGCACTCACTCTAGCCTGGGCAACAAAGTGAGACTCTGTCTGAAAAACAAAAAGTAAATAAAATGCTTAAAAAGTAATGAGTTTTGCCCAAATGAAAGTGCCTTGAATACAAATTATGAAACAAAATAATTTTTTTAAAGAATAAATTGAAATAACCATCTAACTTAGGAATTTTTAGAAAATAAGCCCAGACAAAGCAGGAAAGGAGATAAAGAGGAAAAACAAATTTAAAACATTTTAAACTGAGAAATAGCAAAACTGGTCATTCAAGAGCTGGTTCTTTGTTGGGAGTGGGAGAGTTATCAATTAGATAAACTGGTTACTCTGCTCAAGAAAGAAGGGAGCATAAATATACAAGGTTACAAATAATTTTAAAATAGCAAGTTTATAAATCAAACCAGGTTTATTTTTTATTTTTAAGGAAATCTAATTATCAATATTGACTCCAGAAGAGAGAACCTAACAGACCAATAACAATGGAAGAAATTGGGAAAGTTATCAAAAAGCTGTCATCCGGCAAAACACCAAGCCCAGATGGTATTACAGGTAATTTCTTTGAACTCTCAAGAAACAGATCATTTTGATAAGATTTAAATTATTTCACAGTAGAAGGAAGGAAAAAAATCACAAATACTTTTGTTCTACAAAGCCAGTGGAACATTGACACTGAAACTTGATGTGAAGATAGTACTAAAATTGAAAACTTAGGCCGGGTGCGATGGCTCACCCCTGTAATCCTAGCACTCTGGGAGGCCAGGGTGGGAGGATTGCTTGAGGTCAGGAGTTTGAAAACAGCCTGAGCAAGAGCGAGACCCCCGTCTCTACTAAAAATAGAAAGAAATTAATTGGCCAACTAAAAATATATAGAAAAAATTAGCCGGGCATGGTGGCGCATGCCTGTAGTCCTAGCTACTTGGGAGGCTGAGGCAGAAGGATTGCTTGAGCCCAGGAGTTTGAGGTTGCTATAAGCTAGGCTGGGATGCCACAGCACTCTCGCCCGGGCAACAGAGTGAGACTCTGTCTCAAAAAAATAATAATAAAAATAAAATTGAAAACTCGATCTGTTGTGAAAAGTAAAGTGAAATTTCAAAATGAAATATTAGTAAATGGAATTTAGCAGTATGTTAAAAGACTATTTCACTGTGGCCAATTAGGATTCATTCCCATGTTACCAGGGTAAGTAATTAAAGAAATAGGCTAACTTAATACACCAGATAAAGGCATCAGAAAAGAATAAAAACAGCTCACCCTTGTTGGGTACCTATATACTCCAGAGTGCTCTTTTAGGTGCCTTACATGTTATTAACTCAATTGAGTTAACTCAATTATTAACTCAATTGAGCCTGTGAGATAGGTAGCATCTCTAATTTATAAACAAGGAGATTAAGCCAGTGATCCCAACCTTTTTGTCAAGAGTGACTGGATTCATGGAAGACAATTTTTCTGTGGACAGGGTCGGGAAGGATGGTTTTGGGATGATTCAAGCGCATTACATTTATTGTGCACTTCTGTTATTACATTGTAACTTGCCACTCACTGATAGGGTTTTGTTTTTTTTTTTTTTGAGACAGAGTCTTGCTTTGTTGCCCAGGCTAGAGTGAGTGCCATGGCGTCAGCCTAGCTCACAGCAACCTCAAACTCCTGGGCTCAAGCGATCCTTCTGCCTCAGCCTCCCAAGTAGCTGGGACTACAGGCATGCGCCACCATGCCCGGCTAATTTTTTCTATATATTTTTAGTTGGCCAATTAATTTCTTTCTATTTATAGTAGAGACGAGGTCTCGCTCTTGCTCAGGCTGGTTTCGAACTCCTGACCTTGAGCAATCCACCCGTCTCGGCCTCCCAGAGAGCTAGGATTACAGGCGTGAGCCACCGCGCCCGGCCACTGATAGGGTTTTGATATGAGTTTGCAAGCAATTGATTTTATTATGGTTTCTATGCAGTCAAACCTCTCTGCTAATGATAATCTGTATTTGCAGACATTCCCCAGTGCTAGCATCACTGCCTCAGCGCCACCTTGCACAAACTAGATTCTTTGTGCGCTTACAGTAGGGTTTGCACTCCTATGAAAATCTAATGCCCCTGCTGATCTGACAGGAGGCAGAGCTCAGGTGGTGATGTGAGTAATGGGGAGCAGCTATAAATACAGATGGAGCTTTGCTTGGTTGCCAGCCACTCACCTCCTGCTGTGTAGCCTGGTTTCTAATAGGACACAGCCCAGGGCTTGGGGACCACAAGACTAAACCATGGAGACAGTGACTTATCAAAGGTTGCACAGTAGATGTGTGTTAGAGCTAGGATTTGAACCCCAGGCAATGAGCAGGTCCCAGAGGCTGTACTCTTAAATGTTACACTGGCTCTATTTCTAGTATCTGTATGGTTATCTCAGGAGCTCTCTAAAAGTATTTGAGGCCAGGCATGGTGGCTCACGCCTATAGACCCAGCATTTTGGGAGGCCTGAGTAGAAGGATCGCTTGAGGCCAGGAGATTAAGACCAGCCTGGACAATAGCAAGACCCTGTCTCTACAAACTGGGAAAATTAGCCGGGCGTGGTAGCCCACACTTGTAGTCACAGCTACGTGGGAGGCTGAGGCAGGAGGATCCCATGAGTATAGGAATTGGAGGCTGCAGTGAGCTGAGGTCATACCACTGCACTAGAGCCCAGGCAACAGAGCAAGACTCTTGTTTCCAAAAAAAAAATAAAATAAAAGCATTGACCTAAGTTCAAGGTAGATTCTTGAGTTAGTGGAGGTGGTTGAACTTCATTAAAACAAAAATAAATAAATAATTTCCTTCACATTTAAAACTCTCTAAGATTATCAGATTATCAGTTGATCATTAGTACTGGAAAAATGGAATCCATTTTTAATGGGAAACACAATTGCATAGTAAATAGTAGGGGACAAGGGCTTAAGTTATAATTGTAGCTATACTAATTTTTAAAATGAATATGGAATGAAGTTGTGGGGGTTTTAGCATGATTTGTAAGATGAAATTATATGATAGTACTGGGACAACATCCTTTATGTTTGCAAAACAGGGAGGGGTACTTGGGGGGAATAAATATTTTATGGGTCAGTTGATCAGTGAACATTTTTGTGTCATGATTTGATTCCCTATGTAAACTTGAAACTACTAGGACTTGAATTATGAACACTCCCTTTTCTCAAACCTAAAGCCAGCATCATACTTAATGGTAATCCCTAGGAGAATTCCCACAAACATCAAGAAAAATATGAGGTTATCCACTATTATTATAATTTTGTTCAGGAAGTACCTGCCAGTCTACTAAAATAGAAAAAAGAAAGATGTATATTATAAAAAGAAGGCAAAATTATTTGTAAGTGATATTTTATATTGTGTAAACTAAAATTCACTAAAAAACTGAGAATTAGTGAGAGGATTCAATAAGTTAGTAGGTTCTTAACCTTAATACAGAATAATTGGTAGCTTTTTCATATACAGATAAAAGCCAGTTAGAAAATTAATAGAAAGAAGCAACCCATTCATAATAATGACCAAAAAGATAAAATACTTAGATATAAGAAATAGGATCTATGTAAAGAAAAAATGTTAATTAAATGCTATAAAGTTTGTAAAAAGATATAAGTACATAGGAAGTAAAATCATGTCCTTGTAAAGTTAAGATTCAATTTTGAAAAGGTGACCAGTTTTTAAAATTTATATATAAAGACACTTCTACCATAAAATATTAGGATTTTGGAGAGGAATATGACAAAAATACACTGAAGTTTACCTGAATAAAGTGAGAGAACCAGGAAAACTATAATTCTGGTGAGAGTAGAGGGGGAAGCCCTACTAGATAATGAAATACATTCTGATGCTGCAATAGGTTAAAATAGGTCAGTACTAGAGAAGAAATATTAATACTAGACTATTGGTGGAAAAGAATAGAGTGCAGAAAGAAATGGAAATGCCCATGGGTGTTTAGATATGCAGACCACTGGTGAAAACAAAGTTCATCAACCAGTGATGCTGGCAGTCTCTCTCTTTTTTTTTTTTGTTTTTCTTCCACATGGTCATGTTTATTGAAGGCATGAGGGGCACAAGGGGGCCCTGGGCGTCTGGGGGAAGGCCTGGCATCAGCCTGAACAGCATCCCAGCAGGTGGGAAAGGGGGCTCCACAACCTGGGTTTACTTGGAAGTGTGACTCAGCTCCACCCCGCCCAAAGCCTTTGGGCCCAAACATGGCAGAGTAGCAAGGGTGGTTGCAATAGGGCTTGCCTTCATGCTTGGCGTGACCCCCAGAGGTGAGCGTCTTCCCACATTTCAGGCAGGGCCGATGCCAGTCCTTGCCCAGAGAGGTCACCTGCTCAGCGAAGTACACTTCCTTGTCACACTTGGGGCACTTGGGCATGGCGGCACCAGGGCTGAGGCTGCAGCTGGGCAGGAGAGGCTGTTGGCAGGAGACTCTCTCTCTTTTTTTTTTTTTAAGAGACACAGTATCACTCTGTCGCCCAGGCTGGGGTACAGTGGCACAGTGGCACAGTCAGCTCACTGCAGCCCAAACTTCTGGGCTCAAGTGATCCTCATGCCTCAGCCTTCCAAGGACCTGGGATTACAGGTGTGTGCCATGCCATTGCACCTGGCAGCGTTAGCAATCTCTTATCTTTGCCTCACTCCTGCTACTGAAATTCCAGTGAGATTATAGTATAGATGATAAATGAAACCGCAGCAATTGTAGAAGGAAGCCGGGATGACTTGTTTATAATTTTGGGATAATGAAGACCTTCTAAGGAGGACATAAATTCTAGAAGTCAAGATTGATTTACTATCCAAATTAAGATCTTCAGTATCACAAAATGATGTAGACCAAGTGGGGAAAGTATTTGTCACAATTTTATTAATATAAGTAGGACTGATTTTCTTCAAATCCAAAGATATTTTACTTATCAATAAGAAAAACAAAGTGAAAAATGGTGAATACATGTGAAAACTTGTAGTAAAAGAAACTAAAATGGTCAATGAAAATGAACGATGCTGAATTTTATTTAAAAATTTTAGGTAGCAAAATAGTTCATCCAGGTATAGGTACAGGTTGCCTGTTTAAAAGCAAAAAAAACCCAGCAACCATAAATGGAAGACAGGATAAATTATATAGTGCTATCAGTGGAGTACTGTGCAGTAGAGTACTCTGAACACTGAGGTATCTCTGTTGATACTAGATTCCAAAATACATTATTGTACACCTCATTTTTTCACTCAGTAGTGTTCTTTTTGTCTTTAAAATGATGGATAGTATGGAAGAGGGTAGGTAATAGGGGGCAGGTAAGTGTGACCAGAGTCAGGTAGACTCTTCCAGGGGCCTTTGCACTAGTTTAGGTGAGAGACAAAGACCTGAGTAGGCCAGTAAGCCTGGAGGAGAGGCTGTCTGTGTATTTAATTGATTTATAGCTTTATTTTCCCACTAGTCACTTAAATACACATTTCTTTTGTGAATTTTTATTTAAATGATTTTTTTCCTTGTTACTGGATCTATAAATGGCCTAATTCCAAGGAATCTGGTATCTCTTCATTGAGCATACCAGGTGACTTCATCTACCTATATTAGTACCTACCAAAATTGGAAATCATTCCTCTTTGTTTAAATTGCAGTGGAACACATTTTCAAAACAGGTTTCTTCAAATGAACAAAATGTTTGAGGCCTCAGAGGTGGTGTGGCTCACCTGGTCAGAGGAGTAGGCAATGAAAGATTTAGGCCCTGCCATTGCTCACCTCTCTGGGTACAACCAGGTGATTTCTTGTGGGAAAAGAGTTTCCTGAGTCCTTTTATTACCTTCCTTGGGTTCACTTTGGGCCTGCAGTGACCTGTAGCCATAATTCTTCTAAAATGAGGGCAAGTTTTTCTTTTCTAACAGAAGTGAGACAGCAAGTCAGTTCAAACACCAAACAAAGAGGCGTTAGGCCATAGACTGTAGAAATGTTTACATTTCTTAATAATCTATATATGTGGGAAAGGGACACACAGATCTTGGTGTAATATACTTAAGAAAAATTTATTTCCATTTGCTTCACATGAGAAAGAAAAAAAGGTTCAGTAGTGTCAGAGGGTCTTAGCATTTTCCTGAGGGTCCTAGCCCGCTTCTCCATCTTCATGAACTACTCATTCTTCTCCATCTGTGATGTGCTGCCACAGGACATGCACTAGTAATTCCTCAAAAATGCGATACTGCTGCTCCTTTAGCTAAAATAGGCTTCACCATTATGTACATAGCAACACCTATTCAGTTTTCAAAGCCCCACGGTTGTATCCTGCCTGTGTTTCCCTCCAGGCAGCTAGTTAATGACTCCCTGCTCAATGGGGCCTTGATGCCGTGTACATGCTTCCATTATTGCATTTATCACCCTGCAGCCTGATTATGTGCATGTCTTATCTCCCCTGACATAGGTACCTGCCATACATTTTCACTCTAACCTTGAAAGAGGAATTATATTGTCCTACTTTATTAATGTGGAAACTGAGGCTCAGGGTGAAGCAGTTTGCTTTAGGTCACTTTGGAACTTTCTCATCTGTCACTTTGGCCTTTGTTGTCCTGATTAGACCTTCATTATTGTCGTTATCTCTACCTTTATTTCCTAAAAATTTACAATTTTTTGTTATGTGGATACAAGTACTGTATTGTCACTAAACACAAATACATTGTACTGAATGGGTAGACTTTTATCCCTCACCGTGTCCCACCTTCCCTCCTCCTTAGATTCCAGTGTTCATTACAGCCATTTATGACCATATATATCCTTTGTTTAGCTCTCACTTATAAGTGAGCACATGTGTTATCTGTTTCTCCATTCTTGAGATATTTCACTGACGATAATGGTCTCCAGTTCCATCCAGGTTGGTGCAAAAGACATTTCATTTCTTTTTATGGCTGAGTAGTACTCCATAGTATATATATGCCACATTTTTTTAACCCATTATCAGTTAATGGGCACTCAGATTGATTCCATATCTTTGCAGTTGTGAACTGTGCTGTGATAACATTCTGGTGCAGGTATCTTTTTGGTAAAATGACTTCTTTTCCTTTGGGTACATACTCAGTAGTGGGATTGCTTAATCGAATCATAGGTCCACTTTTAGTTTTTTGAGGAATCTCCATACTGCTTTCTGTAGTGGTTGTACAAGTTTACATTCCCACCAACAGTATATAAGCTTTCTCTTTTTACCACAACCTCACCAACATCTATTGTTTTTTGACTTGTTAATAATGGTGATTCTGACAAGGGTAAGGTGGTATCTCATTGTAGTTTTCATTTGCATTTCCCTGATAGTGATGTTGAGCATTTTTTTGTATGTTGGCCATTTGTTTACCTTCTTTTGAGAAGAGTCTGTTCATGTCTTTTGCCCACTTTTTGATGAGGATGTTTGGTTTTTTCCTGCTGATTTGTTTTTGTTCAATTAAGTCCCATTTATTTACTTCTGTTGTTGCTGTATTTACTTTTGGAGTCTCACTCATAAATTCTTTTCCTAGGCCAATGTCTAGAAGAGTTTTTCCTATATTTTCTTCTAGGATTTTTATGGTTTCAGGTCTTACATTTAAATTTTTAAGTCTTCTTGAGTTAACTTTTGTATAAGTCAAGAGCTAGGGATCCAGTTTCATTCTACACATGTGGCTGTCCAGTTTTTCCAGCACCATTTATTGAATAGGCTGTCCTTAGTGTATGTTTTTGTCTGCTTTGTCAAAAATTTGTTGTAGCTATGTGGTTTTATTTCTGGGTTCTCTCTCCTGTTCCATCAGTCTGCGTGTCTACCTTTATACCAGTTACCATGCTATTTTGGTTATTATAGCCTTGTAGTATAATTTGAGGTCAAGTCATGTGATGATTCCAGATTTCTTCTTTTTGCTTAGAATTGCTTTGACTATTTGGGGTCTTTTGGTTCTATATGAAGTTTAGGATTATTTTTTCTAGATCTGTGAGAAATGACATTGGAATTTTGATGGGAATTGCCTTGAATCTGTAAATCACTTTGGGCAGTATAGACATTTTAACAATGTTGATTTTTCCAATCCATGAGCATGGGATTTTTAAAATTTGGTTGGGTCATCTGCAATTTCTTTCATCAGTGTTTTGCAGTTTCCTTGTAGAGAATTTTTACCTCCTTAGTTAAGTATATCCTTAGGTATTTTATTTTCTTTGTAGCTACTGTAAATGGTATTGAGTTTTTTTATTTGGCTCTCAGCTTGACTGTTACTAGTTTGTGGAAATGTTACTGATTTGCCTACATTAATTTTGTAACCTGAAACTTCACTGAATTTATTTATCAATTCTAAGAGTCTTTTGGTGGAATTTTTAGGGTTTTTTTAGTGTAAGATCATATTGTTGGCAGACAGGGATAGTTTGACCTCCTCTTTCTCCATTTGGATGCCTTTTATTTCTTTCTCTTGCCTAATTGCTCTGGTGTGGACTTCCAATACTGTGTTGAATAGAAGTGGTGACAGTGGGTATCCTTGTCTTGCTCCGGTTCTTAGGGGGAATGTTTTCAACTTTTCTCCATTCAGTATGATGTTAGCCGCAGGTTTGTTATATATATGGCTTTTACTATTTTAAGATGTGTTCTTTCTATGCCTATTTTGTTGAGGGTTTTTATTTTTATTTTTTATTTATTTATTTTTTTTTTTTTGAGACAGAGTCTCGCTTTGTTTCCCAGGCTAGTGTGAGTGCCGTGGCGTCAGCCTAGCTCACAGCAACCTCAATGTCCTGGGCTCAAGCAATCCTTCTGCCTCAGCCTCCCGAGTAGCTGGGACTACAGGTATGCGCCACCTTGCCCGGCTAATTTTTTCTATATATATTATTTGGCCAATTAATTTCTTTCTATTTATAGTAGAGACGGGGTCTCGCTCTTGCTCAGGGTGGTTTCGAACTCCTGACCTCAAGCAATCCGCCCGCCTCGGCCTCCCAGAGTGCTAGGATTACAGGCGTGAGCCACCGCGCCCGGCCATTGTTGAGGGTTTTTATAATGAAGAGGTGCTGGATTTTATCAACTGCTTTTTCTGTATTTGTTGAGATAATCATATGGTCTGTTTTTTAATTGTTTATGTGGTGAATCAGATTTATTAATATGCATATATCGAACCATTCTGGCATACCTAGGATGAATCTCATTTG